CACCACCACCACCACCACCACCACCACCACCACCACCACCACCAATAGTAATGTAGGCTCAACTCCGACCTGCTCGCACTCCAGTCACACAAATGAATCACTCACTGGTCTGGTGAGTTATTTCCGAACCGCCCACACTGCCACCAGGTAGCTAAATCTGGAACCCTTGCATAAACACATACCCGCGCAATGCCTCTTCACACTGTCCCGGAAGAGAGAGAATGCCATAGCTCATTCCGTCATACGGTTATCAGCAGAAACCATTAGTTAGATTGCATAGACCTGGCCCTCTCAAATTACTTTGCTCCATATGTGCGCCCAAACACATGCAACACATTGGTCACACGTGCATACACAGTAGTTATCAGCAGCATTTCAGTAATCAGTATATATGCAATTCGATTTGCCAATGCGAAAATGATAAGCGGAAAAGCCTAAGTGAGAAGAGACAGCTTTAACTTAAACTAGAACCGTGTGTCGCAATGGGGCTAGACACACCTAGAATTAACGTCCGTGTTATGTGTGCGGTACGCGTAGACCGTCTAGTTGGTTTTGAAAACTGCTGTGCTCAATCTCAGGGCCAATCATTTTAACTTCGAGAGACCACGGGTGTATGCCATCCGGGGGAGCCTGGTTCAGGGGTGGAGGCCGTGTCGGGAGCGGCAGAAGTAGACTGCCCACTCCATCTCGTCACCCATTGCGCCCAATCCCGATACCAGCTGGCTGACAGGCCAGGGTTGTCGACTGGTGTATGGGAGAGTGAAGAAAAAGTGACATCGGCGCCGAGGAAGAATCAATCCTCCTGGCAAACTGAAATGAACGAGGTTTGATTCTGAAGCCCCATCTGAGTGATACCATATGGTTAGCTTTCAAAAACATTTAGTAAATGAGAGTAGGATGGCTTTCGAATGTCATATATTTGCGTCTTGCCTAGAATTTTGATCCGGCGAGTGACTGTGCCGCGGCGGGCGAGTGCTTATGCCCCAACATTGGCTGCATCAAGTATTAGCCCAAACGCTCTTCCCTTCTCGTGCTTACCCGGCAACGGTATAGAGAGGGACCCCACTTAACTGTTAGTAGGCTGTGGATCGTGTCGTATGAGGTTTTATCTCGACATACATTTGCAGGCTGTTGCAGAAATTACACTGCCAACAACGATTACTACCCATGACCTCACACATAAACTCAAAATCCCTTATTGAAATTCACTTTTTTTTATTGTTCTATTAATACTCGTTATTTCCGTTGTCGTATAAAAGCGTAGGATAAGACTTTCGGCATAAATCAAGGCAATTTCTAAGTTTTCCTTCATTTTGCTAGCTTGCTATCTAGCCTGCTGTCCCGCCTATAAGACCGCATTACCATAAATCACGTATGACACGTTCTACGGTCTGCCGACAGTTAAGTCGTGTCCTTCTCTGTACCATTGCCGCGCCCCTTTATCATCTTAATTCTGCGAGTGGCCAAGTAGACTTGCTAATGGAATCGTTCGGTCAATGAGGAACTCCGTAGGTTTCACTACAGCGTTCATGCTCCGCGAATTATTACGCAGTTCCCTCCGTAGCCTTCCATTTGGGATTGAGTCCTCCTTATCCTCTCAGTCCAGCCAGCGGCTGTGTCGGGGGGGGGGAGGGTGTACACGCCACCTTCACTCGGGCTCTGCTTACACTCTCTTTCCCATCCCAACCCGACGAACGGCTAAGTTAGGTATGTTAAGTAAAATTGTTTTAGTAATCCAACTATGTGATATCACTCAGGTGGGACTGCAGAACCAAACCTCGGCCTGACCCATACTGAACCTGACGTGCGCAGACACCCAGCGGGAAATGACTTGAACAAGAGCAATCGGTTGTGCAAGTGTAAGGAACCCGTCACGGCTCAGGAACAGACGATAGAGCCCGAAATTGCTGATAGGTTTCATTGTATGGGCTAACATTCATGTGAAATTCTGCATAGAAGAGCCCCCTTAAACTACCGAGGCAAAGACATCAGCTATTGATTCGACATAATTCTGGCTTGAGCGCCCTAACTTGTAGGTTAAGAACAATGCAAGGGGTGTCCTCTGACCGACTGGGAAGAGTTCGACTTTCATTATAACCAGGAGTCACGTGGGCATGTCCTCGGCAATTAAGAAATCTGGATCAAATTGAAAAAGGGATACATAAAACAAATTTTTTCGAATTTGCCATTTAAGCAGGTTTTCAGATCACTATGTCAATAATTAGGAAGAATAAGGTAAGGGCATGCAAAAATAAATCATTGCCAGGTCATGCGGCATCAAAGTCCGCACTGTCTCCCATGTCAAAGGGCCAAATTTAATTGACATGATGTTTTCCCAGTAGGTGCATTCGTCAATCCTTATAGGGGTTACGGTCACATACACCTTGGACTGAGATGCATTGTCCGTTCCACTCGGTGGCCATTTGTCGTGCCCATTCTGTACATCAGTGTCGAAACCGCGGTTAGGGCCATTTTGAAGCAATTGATGGCAAATTTTAGAGTTCCTGTGACTGTCCGGATTGACTGCGGATCTCAGATCGAGTGCATGTTTTTCCCCAGGACTTCTCCCTTTTCGCCCCTTGGTAACATAGATTCCATTGGAGACCGCCTGACTAATCCATCGGTCTGAGTAAAATGCCGTCATTTCACTTGTAATCGTGTATTTCAAGCGTTTGCTAGCACTTATTCCTTCAACACATCGTTTGACAGTTCGCTTGAAACAGTTTGCTCAAACAGTCACCTTCTGTTTAATATAGGCTCTAGAACATGTCTCTGAAGGTCTGTGAAGATAGGGTTTTAAGGTAGTGGTTAAGCTCCTTTAGGCGTTCTGTAAAACTCGAGGTAACGAAAATAAAATGGATTGCGATTTTGATATGACTTAGCTTTATTTAGAGACGACTTCTAGGATTTTCTTGGATTAACGTTTTTCTCATATCTTACGTGGGCGGGTCGGAGGACAAAATCGGCAACTTGAAGACAATCACAAACTTTCAAAATTTTTATTTCTACTGGATTCCACTATGAAATCTAGATCATCTTCATTCGTTCGAAACGGAAAAATAGGTGCTTTCTAAATCATTCATTTAACTTTGTCTTTGGCCCGCATTTGCCTATTCTGTCGTCTGCCGAACTAAGCTGGAGTTCAAATCTAGCGCAATCGGCCTGCGCTACTGCTTGTCCCACGTTTTTTATGATACAGCTAATATCGTAGCACTTACTTCATCTCGGTTATCCGCGCTGATTGAAACCTCTGTCATTATCCTCGGCATTAACAAAAATTTTATTGAACTAAATGCAATTTCGTCATTGTCGCATCAGCAGTAGTTCATATGTTGACTATGCATTTTCATCGGATTTACGGGTACGGCTGACTGAGATTTAGTTATGGAGGACCATTTTGTGTGTTTCAGCACCTGTACATGAAATTATTAGAATGGGTAGAAAAAATGACCTGTGTTTCGTTCGGTGGACACCGCGCTATGCGTCACTGTCTATGGTAAACGTGCGCAAGCACATACATCGTCATCGGTAAGAAGACCGAGTCGTATCAAAGAGCAAGACTGAACCCGTTATATAAAATGCCGCATGTGACGATTGCGCCAGGAGTTTTATGTTGAGACATGTTCACTGACCGCACTGTAGAGGCGATATCTACAGTCAAACACGATTTAGAAAGTGAATGATCAGCATACAAACTCGAAGGTGGCTAAGGGGTTCCAGCAAAATTTGCTGCTGCTTGGCTACCCTCCACCTGTCGTCTTGATGCAAAATTGAAATATGAATGGAAAGGCGACGATTACTTTCAAATCTGGCGGAGTACAGCGATAAAACTAAAAGGGTGCTTAAGATTCAATCGGGGCGGAAAAGGCAGGTTTGTTTGTGCAACTTCTGCGGCGACAGGCTCCTGTTCGTGGCAGTTTTTATTATTCCTGGGGTCTGCTTCAATCATCGTAAATCCCAGTACGTAAACAATTTCAAATGACGTGGCGATTGGTGTATATGAACCGCATCTTCATTTTCAGAGGATAATATTTTTCTAGCCCCGCCTAAGCTTTATTCCCACCAATTGCACTTGTGAAATTACCACAACTCACGGACCTTGAGATCCGCATATTGGACTGCTAGAACATATAAATATTCAGTCATTTGACAAACAGCATTTTCTTTTTTGTGGAAGGGATGCAGCTTATTTACTGGCTGCTTTTCTTTCTGTTTGCGGGATCATCAAGTGGAGTTGGCGAGAGTAAGTTAATGGATTTTTTACTTTTAGTGATGCTGGCAGTCTAAACCTTATAATTATTTTTATCTATTCATGCAGATAGAACTCTAATCTGCGATATATTTTTCAGTTTTCGACAATACAATATAAAACAATTTTTTTCAATTGGTCTTTGTTCAAGGTTTCTTAAAAAAAAGACACAAAATCATATTTACATGCACGTTTATGCAAAATCATGAAGATTATTGATTCTAGGGAAGGAATAACTAGCGCACTCACAGACCGGCAACCGTAAAGGAAAAATCGATCATATTTCATGCAATTTTTGCCATTGAGGAGGTAAATGACATTCCGCGAAGACACGGTAAAGTGTCGCACGATAAGTGAAAATTGGACAAAGCAGAGACAGTTAGTCAATCTTCTCAGGGCCGTAAAGAATGCGGGAGACTAGCGGGCGGGTAAGGTGGTGGTTATAACATGTCGTGGCGAATAAGGAACGTAATAGGAAACGGTTACTGTACAGTGTGAATGAGTTACTAACGCAAAAACTTGTCATCATCGAATCTACCAATGACGTACTGCTGAAAGAGCTGCGGTCTAAATTTGTATCTCATCTGAATATGTAGTCGTGACTAATGAAAACAAATACTGTTGTGCTACCTGATCGTTCGAAGTAGACGTTGTTGCGTTGAACTGGTGTTGTTATGCGTTGAGGTGCCCGTTCTGTTTGCTGTCTTCGTCTTACGTTGGCGTGCCTATCTCTTAGCCGCAATGCCGGTGATTGTTCTGACTTCCAGTTTATCGTTTCCTTCTAATCCTAGGGTTTGCCTGGATTAGAGTTAGGATTGCGATCGAATTAGGAGTTAGGACTAACTATTAGGTGTAGGTTGATGTTAAGGGTTAGGGTTTAAGGGTAAGGCTTAGCGGTTAGGGGCTAAACCTAACATTCTTTCCTTTTGCATATGCTGTACAAGTCTTAATGAATGATTGGCCTCCTGGATCAGCGTGGATTTTGTTTTATTTCGAACCGCGTAACTGCTTTAAGCGGTTTCTGTCTAGATTGTGGTCTACGTCAAGCGTAGCGCAGACGTTTTTTCCTGCATTAAATAATATTAGTCTGGTATCTACGACTACCTTGCCATCACATTATTCGATCATCTTACTCTCAGCCTTACCGGCCTAACGTTATTGTGACGTTCGACCTTCTGGGCTGTCCGCGTCCTAAAATCCCCTATGTGCCATCTTCGTGATGGTCGTTACGTCCATCCACACACTGCGAAATGCTCTTTCCAATGCCTTATTCATTTTCATTTTTACTTTCATTGCTACGTCCTTTCCGCGCTGACACATACCACTCCCGTAGGCTGTTTTACATACGCCCAGCCACTTTCATCTTTTCGCAACTAATTTCGCCTTCTATAAAGCATTGCGATACTTCTTCTCATGCTTATTTTTGTGCTTAATTTCTCAATTGTTCTACCCACGCGCACATTAGTTCCACCCGCAAAACCCATGCTACCGCCTGGCCTTTATCGCAAGTGGCTGGTGCAAGTGTCCCACACTTAAAAAAGTTGTCAAATGCAGAAACCCAATGAAATTGACCAGGCAAAATGATGGAAAATCTCTAAATGACTGCAGATGCGGCGTTTGTAATGTCTGATTTTCCACAGAAAAAAGCTCGTGCGTTGTGCCCTGAGGACTAAGTCGGCATCCCTCGAATCGCCTACTAAATATAGACCATCAGGCACTACTAATGGAGCTTGCTTCCTCCTTTCAAATTGCACGAATTATTCTACTAATCTTCACATCCGCGTCATTTGTGGTGGTGTATGTGTCCCTGGAAAGCACCGCCCAAATTCGTGAGTAAATTTTATGTTGAAGCTTGAGTCAAGAGTAAATGTAAGCCTACGCACCCAGTAGAAGGGATATTCCTTAAGAGTAGGAGGTGAAGGACAAACCATGCCTGACACATTCGTTCGACATGTATGGCACTTCCCTCTGTTGAGAAGGAGAAGATTGTGAATTCACGCCATTATGATATCTAATGGGACCGTCTGCATGCATGGCGATTTTAACGTCAAGTTATTGCGGACTCGCTTCTGCTGGCGACAGTTCAGGTAGGTGTAGTATCCTTTCGATGTTGTCTTAGGGAATCCTCATTGCCCTGATCGAAGGTTACTACTGTGTTTCGGCGGCTAGATAATTTGACTCACAAAATTAATGCGAATCACTGAGTCCATCTTCAATTCCCCCTGTGTTGAGATGGGCATGTCTGGCTTATGAGAACATGCAAGTCAGAAGTGTCCACCCGGGCTCCATGGATTTGTTGGAAATCCCATCCTTTTATTGGTTATGATTCCTTCAAGGACGACTGCAAGACCTATAAAAGTCAAGTGCAAGTAAAATCTAATCAGCGGTTTCCCTTTGTACGGTAGGAACACACTAGTTTGTATTTTAATAACGTCATAGGCCTCCAGTATACCTTGTTTGCAACCCACTGAGGCCGGAAATTATAACGGCATGGATTTTCTAATTATTCAGACAACGAAAATGATTTGAACGTGCAAGTTCTGGCAACAAGTTCGCAATCCATACGAGTAACCTGGAGGCTACCGTCAGGTTACAGCAGTAGAGATTTAAAGAATTACGATCTTTACCTCCTGGGACACTCTAGTCTTGTTCAGCGTTCTGTACAACCAGAGACAACATCATGCACCTTTGCAGGATTGCCGCCATTTACCAACTTCTCAGTCGATGTACAGCCCGTCTTTACTGGCGCAACAAAGCCCGTTTTGCATGGTGGAGCATCAGCTATCACATGGCCCACAGGTTAGTCCATAGCTTTCAGAGTTAATTATTATACTCTTTTGCCATCGAAAAAAAACTAGCCAAAGTGACGACTAGAGTTGAATAGTCCTCCATCAATGACTAATCTTCAGCAGTTTGAAGAAGTCGAGGAGGCAAAGTGAACAGCGATTGAATAGCACCTCATGACCGAACGGAGATTTTTAAGGAATATGCCATAGACGCTTATCGAGTATATAGAATTCATATGAAAAAATACATTTTAGGCCTAATCAGAGTCCTTGTCATCGAAAGACCAAGGGGCTTGCGGTCCAATGCTTAGTCAGCTGAAAAGCTAGCTGCAATAACGAGACCATAATATAAACTCCCAAGGTGAACGATACATGTATGATTACCTCCATGTGGAAATCGTGCGCGTAAAATCCATCACCCGTAAACCAAAGCACTGAAGTACGAATTTTTGTACTTTTCCTGCCACCACAGTGTAAACCAAATCCCCGTCGTTTCAAAGGCTTCATCTGTTCATCATTGGATTTGTGGGCGTATAATTTCGTATCCTGTATATGTATATATACGTTAAAATATATATATATATATATATATATATATCTATATATAATGGTAGTGGGCGCTCAACGATCGTTCATACGGAACTCACTCGTTCCGTTGCGCCTTATGGACTATCTCTCGAGCCAAACCAGCAGCCGCACAGCGGCGCATGATATACAGGCAGAATACCATTACCGACAAAGACAAGGGAGACTGGAATGGCCATTTCTGGCTTATTAACCGTCGTCAGCCAGCCATACCCGAGCCCGAAGTGTGGAACACCCGAGCCTCGAACTCGCGACCTGTTGGTTTAGAAGTCAACGCCTCTACTCACCGGGCCACGAGCCCGTTGCCTGTTGCCTTCTAAACCAACAGGTCGCGAGTTCGAGGCTCGGGTGTTCCACACTTCGGGCTTGGGTATGGCTGGCTGACGACGGCTAATAAGCCAGAAATGGCCATTCCAGTCTCCCTTGTCATTGTCGGTAATGCTATTCTGCCTATATATATATATATATATAATAGTAGGGGGCGCTCACCGATCGTTCATATGGAACTCACTCGTTCCGTTGTGCCTTAAAGGCTCTCTCTCCAGCCCAACCAGTAGCCGCACAGCGGCGCATGATATATAGGCAGAAATGGTATTACCGACAGAGACAAGGGAGACTGGAATGGCCATTTCTGGCTTATTAACCGTCGGCAGCCGGCCATACCCGAGCCCGAAGTGTGGAACACCCGAGCCTCGAACTCGCGACCTGTTGGTTTAGAAGTCCACGCCTCTACCCACCGGGCCACGAGCCCGTTGCCTTGTCGGTTTTCGATCAAGATTCTACAATGATAGGGGCCCTCACCGATCGTTAATAAGGAACTCACTCGTTCCGTTGTGCCTTAAGGGATCTCTCTCGAGCCCAACCAGCAGCCGCATAGCGGCGCATGATACATAGGCAGAAATGGTATTACCGACAAAGACAAGGGAGACCGGAATGGCCATTTCTGGCTTATTAGCCGTCGGCAGCCAGCCATACCCAAGCCCGAAGTGTGGAACACCCGAGCCTCGAACTCGCGACCCCCCCCCTACCATTGTATATTCCCGATCGAAAACCGACAAGGCAACGGGCTCGTGGCCCGGTGGGTAGAGGCGTGGACTTCTAAACCAAGAGGTCGCGAGTTCGAGGCTCGGGTGTTCCACACTTCGGGCTCGGGTATGGCTGGCTGCCGACGGCTAATAAGCCAGAAATGGCCATTCCGGTCTCCCTTGTCTTTGTCGGTAATACCATTTCTGCCTATATATCATGCGCCGCTATGCGGCTGCTGGTTGGGCTCGAGAGAGATCCCTTAAGGCACAACGGAACGAGTGAGTTCCGTATGAACGATCGGTGAGGGCCCCTATCATTGTAGATTCTTGATCGAAAACCGACAAGGCAACGGGCTCGTTGCCCGGTGGGTAGAGGCGTGGACTTCTAAACCAACAGGTCGCGAGTTCGAGGCTCGGGTGTTCCACACTTCGGGCTCGGGTATGGCTGGCTGCCGACGGCTAATAAGCCAGAAATGGCCATTCCAGTTTCCCTTGACTTTGTCGGTAATACAATTTCTGCCTCTATATTTAAACATATCAGAGGGGAGAAGACAGAGTTTGGGGGTAGATTGATACAGGACTGCTTCAGGCTTGTTTGCCTTCATTCAGCCAATCATTACCCTGACTACCAGCAGCTGGTACCGGAAACACAAACATGCGCTCAAACGCACCTGGCGCAGCTGGTCCACCACTGGGCTCTACCAGATGGGTCATAAGCAATTCATCGAACCGAAGTTCATCAGTGCCTCGCCACCTGTCATTCATATATATATATATATATATATATATAGGCAGAATAACATTACCGACAAAGACAAGGGAGACTGGAATGCCCATTTCTGGCTTATTAGCCGTCGTCAGCCAGCCATACCCAAGCCCGAAGTGTGGAACACCCGAGCCTCGAACTCGCGACCTGTTGGTTTAGAAGTCAACGCCTCTACTCACCGGGCCACGAGCCCGTTGCCTTGTCGGTTTTCCATCGGGAATATACAGTGGTAGGGGGCGCTCACCGATCGTTCATACGGAACTCACTCGTTCCGTTGTGCCTTAAGGGCTCTCTCTCGAGCCCAACCAGCAGCCGCACAGCGGCGCATGATACATAGGCAGAATAACATTACCGACAAAGACAAGGGAGACTGGTAATGTTATTCTGCCTATGTATCATGCGCCGCTGTGCGGCTGCTGGTTGGGCTCGAGAGAGAGCCCTTAAGGCACAACGGAACGAGTGAGTTCCGTATGAACGATCGGTGAGCGCCCCCTACCACTATATATATATATAATAAAAGTAGTAGGCTCTTCGGAAAATCGAGGTATACTCGTGAATTTTCAAGTCGGTTACACCAACCCGTCGTCAGACGAAAATGAAAAGTGTGAGGGAGATAATCCTACTGGGGAGTCAGGGGGACATCGAGGTTACATCGACAAGACAGGCGTTTATGTGTGGGGGTGAAGAACGTGTTTGGACAGGTGGCGGACGTTAGGGGTAGTGTTGGGGGTTTCACACATGGTTCACTCTGTGGGGGAGGTGCTGAATCCATGATATTCTACATGGCCGAACATGGATTAGCAGTAGGTGGCTTAGGGTGGGCGCAAGCCGGCGAACCGTGAACGTAGGCCTTCGTATTGAGCGTCCAAGTCGACATGGCGGTTGATGCTATTGCTATTAGAGTGCCAAGCTTCTAGAAACTCTCGCGCTTGTTTGGTGTTGGCATTAGCGATCACTTCGGTCCCCTCCCAGTTGAAGCGGTGATCACACTCAAGTGAGTGCGCAAACACGAGAGACAAGGGGTCCCGTCGGCGGATGGCCAACTTATGTTCGTTAATGCGGGTCCCAAGTCGTCGGCCGGTATGCCCAACATAAACGCTAGAGCAGTTTGAACATGGAATGCGGTAAATGACATGTGTTTGCTGCTTCTTCGGTATGGGGTGTTTTATCCGGGATAATGTCGTGCGCAATTAAGACGCCGGTTTGTGGGCGATGGAGATGCCGAATCGATTTAATTATCGAGCGATCGCTTCGGAAATTCTCGGCATGTAGGGCAGGGAATAGAATTTCCGTGATACCCTGTCTCCGCTGGAGTCGACGTTTTGTGGTTGTTGCTGACGTCTGAGACAATTTTCACAAAGCTCGCCGGGTATCCATTGAGTCGGAAATAGCGATGCAAGTAGGCCAGTTCATCTTTCAGTAAATCGGCGCTACTGCAGTAACGATACGCACCGTGGAAAAGGGTCCGAACACAGCTTCTTTTATGGGCTGCTGGGTGGTTACTCTGATAGCTCAGGATGATCTCAGCGTCAGAGCTTTTCCGATGAACGCTTGTTGCGATGCACCTCGCTGATGGATCACAATACAGCATCACTAATTCTCAGGCATTCCTTCAAAGGATTGAAGGTCTTAAAGTATGTCCTGATGAAAGTATTCTATCATTTGATGTTGTCGCAGAGATGTTGATAGATGTCGATGTCGATGTTGACAGAGAATGACAGGTGGCGAGACACTGATGAACTTCGGTTCGATGAAGTGCTTATGACCCATCTGGTAGTCCTCAGTGGTGGACCGACTGCGCCAGGTGCGTCTGTGCGCATGTTTGTGTTTCTGGTCGCAGCTGCTGGTGGTCAGGGTTATGCTTGGCTGAATGAAGGCAGAATAAGCCCGAAACAGTGCTGTATCAATCTACCCGCATTCTCTGTCGTCCCTCCTCGCTGCTATTATGACTTGGCCGACTTCGGCCTGGAAATTGGTTGCCTGTTCGTGACATTTGCCACAGATACGGAGCTTGTTTGCTTTGTGAAGCCATAGATCGGGGTGCGCCCATTCCTGCTATATATATATATATATATATATATATATATATTATGATAGTGGGCGCTCACCGATCAGGTTACGGAACATGCTCGTTCCG